CATCCATAATTCTTCAGGTACACTGTCCACCAAATCAAGTTCCTTAAATCTGTTCTTCACTTCCACTGTGTATTCATAAGAAATTTGGTTTAGATTATACCTGACTAGCCCAGTGGCTTTTCCTACTTTCTTCAGTTTAAGCTTGAGCTTTGCTATAAGAAGCTGATGATCAGAGCCACAATCAGCTACAGGTCTTGTTTTGTAGAGCTTCGCTTCTCCATCTTTGGCTGCAAAGAAGATAATCGATTTAGTATTGCCCATCTGGTGATGCCCATGTGTTGTGTTGTTGTTGTAAAACGCCTCTTGTGTTGTTGGAAAATAGTGTTTGTGATAACCAGCTTGTTCTCTTGACAAAACTCTATCATAGCCTTTGCCCTGCTTCGTTTTGAACTCCAAAGCCAAACTTATGATTTCATAGGCACTGCCAAAACCTTGTACAATACGACTCATTACTACAATGCATTGGTTGAAGGGTATAACTATCCCAAAGGAACAGATTGAACAGGAAGGGAGGAGAAGTAGCATTGTACAGTATGTAAAGGATGTGCAGCTTTGAGGTCATGACTTGAATCATAAAAACCTGATGGAGAGTATTTGGGTAAAAACAAAAGAAGAGAGATGTCACTGTGAGGAGTCTGCCACAGACCTCTTGGCCAGATTGAAGATTTGGGCTATGCTGTCCTAGGCCAGACTGCCAAATACAGTGGTGCCCCACATAGCGACGTTAATCCATTCCAGGATTAATGTCGCTATCCGGATTCGTCGCTATGCGGGGGGGGGGAACCCATAGGAACGCATTAAACAGAGTTTAATGCGTTCCTATTGGGGTAAAACTCACCGCTATGCGGGGAATCCTCCATCCGGCCGCCATTTTTACCACCCGGTAAGTGAGGGCAGGGCGCGAAAACACTGCGGGCAGCCATTTTGCTGATCCAGCAGCCATTTTGGAACTGCCGATCAGCTGTTTGTAAAACATTGCAATGCGAAGATCAGTAAACAAAATGCTTACCGATCAACGCAATGCGATGTTTTCCCTATCTAAAACATTGCAATGTCGCATTAGTGATCGCAAAAAATGCATCGCTATGCGGATTCGTCGTTAAGCGGTGCACTCTTTAAGTGAGGCACCACTGTATTCAAGGAGGGGACATATCATAGTAATGGGAGACTTCAACTACCCCAATATCTGCTAGAAACCCAACTCTGCCAAGAAATGATGGTCCAAAAAATTCCTCACTTGTCTTGCTGACAACTTCATCCTCAACAAGATCAGCTATCCTAGATCTTGTCCTAACTGACAGAGAAGAAATGGTCAATGCAGTGGAAACAATGGGGACTCTGGATGGATGTGATTATGCTCCCTTGCAATTTGTTATACTGAGAAAAGTGAACAGTGAAAACAGTCTAATTCACAGTCTAGACTTAGAAAGTTGATTTCAGTAAACTCCAAGAAATACTGGGTGAGATGCTAAGTTCAGAAATACTCAGGAAAAAGGAAGGCCATGAGGGAGGGAAGTTTCCTAGGAGTGAGATACTGGGCCTGCAAATGCAAACCATTCTTATGCAGAAGAAATGTGGGAGACATCTAAAGAAAGTGTCAGCTGTATAAAGAATTATTAGATGAGCTACAATTCAAAAACAACATATATAGAAAGTGGAAGGAGGGTAAATTATCAATGAAAAGTTCAAAGAAGCAGTGAATGTTTGCAGAGAGAAGGTTAGGAAAGCTAAAGCTGAAAAAGTTCTCAAATTTGTAAGACAAGTAAAAGTTCATAAAAAGAAAAACCATTCCCAACTTTGTGTAGGCAGAATAAAGGAAGAAATGGAGGGCTGCTGCTGAGGATAAAGGAGGAGCTGATGCAGGAGCACCTAGCTATTTTAAATGAATTTAAGTTTCCAGGGCCAAATGAATGCAATCCATGGGAATGATAGGTTACCTACCTGTAATTGTAGTTCTTCAAGTGGACCTCTGTGATTGACACCCTGGGTGATCCGCGCGTGTACGGAGCCTTATCGGAAGGTTCTAGAGCTATTGTGGTAGCGAAAATGCATTAGAATAAGGCCCCTCTCTCCTCGTATAAGTACCTTGGCGCCCAGGCTCCCCTTTCAGTTGTGTCAACCACCGCTACATTAAGCAGAATGGTGTGACAGTGGGGAGGATGGGCGGGATGTGTGAATCACAGAGGTCCACTCAAAGAACTGAAATTACAGGTGGGTAACCTGTTCTTCTTCTTTGTGGCCTCTGTGAATCATACCCTGGGTGACTAAAGATGTCTTACGCAGAGGCAGGGTGTCACGCCAAGGTAGAGGCTAGAACAGCATGTCCAAAGGCCGCATCAGACTTCTGCCGGAGATCAAGTCTATAATGCCGGATGAAAGTGGACGGCTGTGCCCAGGTGGCAGAGGCATGTCATATTCCTTTCCCAATCTTGAACCAATCAGTTGTTCCATATCCAGTTCTAACTGTGGCTTCCTGTCCCACATATAGATATCTCAGGAGATGGATAAGGTGGTCAGACACTCCCATTTCTTTAAGAACTTGCCACAGCTTTCTGTGGTCCACACAGTCAAAGGCGCAAACATCTGGAAGAGGTACGCCACGTAGGAATGCTGTAGAGGTCATCACTGTTCTGGTGGAATGGGGGTGAATCACCTTTGGGACTGGTTTGTATGCCAGCTGATACACGAGGTGAATGGTTAAGGCGACTCATCTAGATATGGTTTGAGACGTTAGCTGGTAACCTTTACTAGGTGATTGGTGACTTATGAAAAGTTGAGATGAACGCCTGAAAAGTTGGGTGCATTGGGTCCAAAGTCTAAAGTATGAAGGACAGTGATGGGAAGAAGGAAGGAAGGATAAATGGCTGAGAGAGATGGAATTGAGGTACGACTTTGGAGAGGAAAGAAATATCCATGGATAATTCGACTTTGTCCGGAAAAAACCTGTAAATAAGGATAATCGTGACGTAAGGCGGCTAACTCACTCACTGAAATAGGATGTGTTAGCCACTGTGGATAATGGACAGTACCCAGGCATCTGTAGTGATGGATTCTCAGACAGGTAGGTGTTTCCAGAGGGCAGGATGGGTGGAGTGGTGTGCAATCTCGGTCATGGGAGAGACAAACATGATGTTTGGGCTTGTGGTCATTGCGCCTAGTAATGGGTTGTTGGGGGGGTTTATTTCTTTGATTTCTGAAACAGGGAGTGTAAGATGTTTGTTTTGGAGGATCACGTTGAGTTGTTGGGTCGCCTCTATTGATTTTGTTGGTGGCGTTGTTGGTAAGATGGGAAAACTGCCCAACGTCTAGCTGCTGATCTTTTCTTTTGTATGTTTTCCAAAATATCATCAGCATTAAAGAGGCCTGCGCCATCAGATAGGAGGTGGTTGGGCATCCTCAGCCAGGCCAGCTGTCTTTAGCCAAGAGAAATGTCGCAAGGCTACTGAAGTGGCCATTGACTTTGCTGTGGCATCTACCGTGTGCCTAGCAGAAAGCATCTGTTGGTTGGCGACTACTTTTTTATCTTCTGGTAAAGATACAATGAAGGTTGACATATTGTCCCAAAGGAAACACTGACATGCACCCATGGCTCCCTGGTAGTTATCAAAGAATAATTTCTCTGATGTATGGGGCAGATTTCTTGAATATGTGCTGACAGAGGAAAAGGGAAAGCTCCAAATCAAGAATCAATGCAGTTCTGGAGAAGAGGACAATAGATGAAGAAGAAGAAGAAAGACAGAGGAAGAAGAGGATTACTACAAGAGGTCCCGACTATGGTGGTGGCGAACAGAGTCGATTTACCGTATTTTTTGCACCATAAGACACACTTTTCCCCCACAAAACAGGGGGGTGGAAAGTCTGTGTGTCTTATGGAGTGAAGAAAACAGATTATATTTTCCTGTTTTCTTCTCCTAAAAAATTGGTGCGTCTTATGGAAAGGTGCGTCTTATGGAGCGAAAAATATGGTATATTTTGGTTTATGTATTTTATGTTTATGTTGTAGTTTAAGAAAAAAAATTAAAAATTAAAAGGAGATTCTGGAGGACTAACCAAGGGGTTGATAGGGGTTTGGGACATGGGGATTGGCCCAACAACCACTCCTAGTAGGGGTCTCATGGTGCAGTGGTTAAACTGCAGTACTGTTTGCAGGAGGGCATTGGGCAGCCTGCATAATTAAACTGTAAACCACCTAGAGATTGCTTTAAGCTCTATAGCGTAGTATATAAGCACAACATTTTGCTTTTGCTTTTTATCAGATTACTCCCGCAAGTGGACAGTATCCTGTTAAATATTTATGCGTATGTGGAGTTCTAATTATATTGGCCGTTGAAGTGATCTGACAAGGTGCTGGTCACATGTGACCAGACTCATGACCAGCACCTTTCCAGACCACTAAAGCAGTTCTAACCATTCGAATTCCACATAGGTAAATTGAATAGAATACTGTCCAGTACTTTTATATTTTAAGATTAGCATCTTAAAATAATTTCAATTCATTTGTCAAAAATGTTAAATGTACATAAAGAATTGTAACTTTTATAATTGGCTAGGAATGAACATAACACAATTCAGCAATACAACAAGAAGACAAAGCATGGAACTAGGAGTTATAAAGCTGGTTTGGAACATTAAGTGTACACTGTCTTTCCTCCCACTCACTTTCACCTGGGTTCATAAAACAGGCCACTTGTCTGCCTTCTGAAGAAATATTTCCCAAAAGAAAAGTTGGTGCAAATTATCAAATCCCATTCAACTGTGGCAATGTGTAATAACTGCCCACTATAAAAAGTTAGATAGATATTAATAACACAAGGAAAGAGAACACATTTTACAGCTCAAATGATGTATCATGGTAACAGGATTTGAGGCCACTGATATCCTTCTTCAAGTTTTTTTAAAAAGGTGTTGAATCACTGCAGATTTTAAAGACATTAAAATAAAAAAATGACAAATAGACTCAACAAGAAATATGAATATTTGGAAAACCGCTGTTTATTTACCTTGCCCAGAACGGCTCTGACAGTAATCTATGCTTGCCTGTCTTCGGTCTGGTGGCTCCTCGCTTCCTCCATCTGTGTGAGAACCAAAACAGCATAAGTATATCAGTACACTAGAGATATCAGTCAGATGCAGCTTCTCAGACAGATCAGGCAGATGCAGTACCATCACTGTCTCTCTTAAGAGATAGCAGGCCTGCTACTTGTATTTTGGTTGTAAAAGAGAAAAGACACAAAACCTCTGTTTTTCTATGTCTTTAGTCCCTCAACTGGATGCATACATAATCTAGAAAGCCAAAAAAAGGAAATCATCTTTTAAGTTTCTCTGAATTCCTCCAAAAATATCTGAACAAATCACAATCCTAACTAATTAGTTCCATAACACTGAATTATCATTCAAACAAATCAATTTCAGAAGGCTCTCTTGTATTATGATACCATCCAGAAAAAGTCTGAAGCAGGCTGAACTAACATGTAAATAAGAGTTTGTAGGTGAAGTAGAAGGACATAGAAATGTTATGCAATTAAGTAAACGTCATTCTCATTGATTAAATGACTAGATTAGTAACAATAGATATGCATGTCAATACCAATATTCAAGACTCCATGGAATAGTCAGAACTGAATGTTCATTTTAAAAGCACCTTAAAAACTATAATGTTTATTAAATATAAATTATACATTTAAATATATATTTAAGTATAAATGAAATATGACAATTTCATAGGGATGGAGACAGAAAGACAACACTAAGCAATAGCAATGTAAATTACCTATGTGACATGCTTCACACCCAATTCATTACCACATGGTCCTAGAATATGGATCTATCATACTCCCCTCTTGTTTTTCCAATACATGTTCTGCATTCAAGAGGTATTTTCTTATTGTGAAACCAAGGTTATTCCCCACCCTCACATGGGCCACCTTGCAAAGAGCTCAACATAATCATGTGCCATCAAATCAATTCCAATTCATGGTGACCCTTTCTGGGATTTTCTAAATACTGTAGAGAGTACTAAGAACCTAGCATTTTACATATGTTACAAATTCTTCTCTAATATTTGAATAATTTACTGTTTTCAGCTTTTAATATTGTCCCTTTAACAATGTAAACTGCCTTGAATCCTGTTTTAGGAGAAAGCCAGGATAAAAATATTGTAAAAGCAAGCAAGCAAGCAAGCAAGCAAGCAAGCAAGCAAGCAAGCAAGCAAGCAAGCAAGCAAGCAAGCAAGCAAGCAAGCAAGCAAGCAAGCAAGCAAGCAAGCAAGCAAGCAAGCAAGCAAGCAAGCAAGCAAGCAAGCAAGCAAGCAAGAAAGAAAGAAAGAAAGAAAGAAAGAAAGAAAGAAAGAAAGAAAGAAAGAAAGAAAGAAAGAAAGAAAGAAACATATTCCACAAGAGAAGAGAAAGAGTTAAGGCTCAGATTTTCTCTGTCTTCTTTGATGCCACTGGATAAATAAATTGTATATGCAGCAACAGAGCAGTTCTAAATGTCCAATGTGTCTTTAAAAATCTTTTGTTATAGAACCAAGAATATCACAACATGGAAGGAATTACACATTTGCTTTGCTCCTAACAACAGTCAATTTCTGACTATCAAAATCCATCTTAATAAGACAGATGTGCACAAGTTCTATGCACTTGTATGCAGTTCCTTTGCTGCCATATTATCCCTCCCCTCTGAAAAGCCAAGAAGCCACAAATAGCCATAGTGTTTAATTACTTGCTCCTTGAGAACTATGGGTAATGAGCAATGAACCCAGGATTCAGAAACTAACCTTTGATTATGGTTTGCTCAATCACATCAGATTATAAACAAACATCCAAGTTCATTAAACCACAGTGTGTTAACATGATCACTACTTTGATAACTAACCACCCTTGTTTTCGGATTTTGTACAAGGACCACATGAATATTTGTCTTCTTTTTTGTGCATGAGCTCCATGAGCCTCATTGCATCCTTTTTGCTTCTTCCACTGTATGAGCAGCAAAACAAACCAGAAAACCATGGTTAAGCTTCTGAATCTACTTTGCCTAAAAATCATTAGCCCAAGTTTCTGGCTCACATGTAACAGGATGGTACAGTTAACTGTAATTCCAGGTATTTTTTGACAATCATACAAAACCAAAAAGGAAATGCATGCAGCATTTGAATATCCTGGTTTAATCATTCAGAACCAGTCAAATTCAGCTATAATTCAATGACACTAATGCAGCTTAGTGTCACCTTGTGGAGTGGAAAGAAGTCAGGTCAAACCATAAAATGTCTTCTTGAATAGAGTTCCTTTAATTATATCAGTCTCTTTGATCTCAAAACATGGCTGCTAAGCCCCTGCAAGGAATAGATAAATAACCCAGCATTTGAATAAGATATCATTATAGCTCAAATAAATATTCAAGAAGATTATTTTTAAAATGCAACTGAATGCAACTTTTAAAAATCATTAGAAAAAACATACTCTTCAAGAAAACTTATCTATAGAAGAAAAAGCACAAAGTCTCTGTGGCATCTACAGGAGAAGATACTTAAAATCAAAAAACTATATTACTATCAAATAATAAGCAAAACATAATTTAATCGGTATTGAGTAATAAGTCAGGGAGAGGGACCACTTAATCAGACTTTTAAAAAAACATATTTATTTATATGTTAAGAATAGTTTGGTCTAACAGAGCCTTGTGGTGCAGTGGTCAAATTGCTGTACTGCAACCAAATTCTGCTCAAAACTCAGGGTTCAATCCCAAGTAGCTTCACTCAGCTTTCCATCCTTCCGAGGTCAGTAAAATGTGTGTCCAGCATTTGTGTGTGTGTGTAAAAAGAGTGTGATGGAAAACTGACTCTTTGAGGTATAGTGTGTGCTGGTAGAGATTACAAAGAAGGAAAGAGCCAGAGGGTTGCTTGAAGTCAATATGCCATTTAGATGTGAGGATTGCATCCAATGGCATATCATTCCTCTTCCCCACAACCTGTCAGTATTTACACCACACCACATGAAAAGGGCAAGTGTGGACAGGCGACCCCATAATAGGGTTTTCAAGGAAAATAAGATACTTAAGGGCTAGTTTTACCAGCTCCACCCCCCACTGTGTTTCCACAGCAGAGCCAGGAGATTGAACCAAGGTTTCCAAAGTTCTAGTCCATTACTCTATCCACTCCACCACACTGGGTTGTGTTGAGCAATATGCCTGATTAATTACAGCCCTGGTAGAAAAGTTCTAGAATTCACTAGTGACAAGCATTGTTCGGAGAAAAAATCTGTCACAACATACAAGCCGTGAATTAGGAAGCGTCACATACAAATTCCAAATAATTTCTAAGTCTCCACATCCCTCTGAAAACTAAATGTTTGGAGTGCAGTATTTAGACAAAAAGCTCTCTATATACACTCAACAGCAGCAGAACATGTCATGGAACAGATATCTGCTTTCCTTGCCAATAATCTAGAATTACTTTCTGGTGCACATTCAACTAAGCAAGCACTGATGCTATTGGTCAACTAATTAACCATGATTATGAATTCATACACCTGAAAGCCATCCTTGGTTTCCTCAAATCTGATTCCTTTTTATAGAATCCACCTTTCATTTGAATACTTTCTTCCACATTCTTTAAAAGTGAGATATGAAAGCAATAAAACGAACAGAACAGTGTACCAGCATGACACTGGCATTTATTACTAAAACTGCAACAGAGTACCTTCATTTTGGAAAATAATAAACTATAACAAACAAACAAAAAACTATGGGATGACCTCTAGGAATAACTATGGCATGACCACAGCTGATGATGTCATTCTCACTGCACAATATAAACACACACAACATGAATTCAGTTATTGAGTAACAAAAAAGATATTTTTCTACCACCATGCCTCTAACAAACACCATCTCTTATACAGGGTGACTGAAATATTTTAAGTACAGTATAGTAAAGAACTTAAAAGACAAAGGAATATTTCGCACAGACTCTCAATCTAATAAACACAATGAAAAAAGAATGTGGGAGGAATAGGAAAAAATCAAATTCAGATAACATTTCCTGAAGCTATGTAACTATTGTGGTGTCATCTGATTTGATAAGGCAGACCTTTTCACTTTCAAAATACCAAAGCATGTTACCTTTCAGTTCTACAATCCTAGAGCAACTGCCAACTTTTTTTTTTAGTGAAAGGCTAGAAGTAAGCAAGCTCACCATAGCTAGAATTTCTTTGGTAAACTCATGCTAGCAATCCCTTGTCTTCCATGTTCTTCACGAAAGGCAATTGTGCAATATCCTGGTAATTCTAAACCCCCTAATTGTCTGGCCACTGTAGTCACAAGAAAAATCTGCTCTCTCATAACTGAATGTGGTTGACTGGTGGCTATTGATCCCTGTGGTGATCCTAAGGAAGTACATTTATCTGGCAGCAGCCAACTTACTGTAGTACTGTATTGTAAGTTCTGAATAAGTCTAAATGCAGGTCAAAAAGCATTTCAAGAAAGGATCAGGGCAGCTACAGCCCCACTACCACTATGCACACTTCCAAGTAAAAGAGTGAAACTTTGTGTAACTTTAAGAAAATGCTTAAGAACTAGTCCTAAAACAACTTGTAATCAATAAAACTGTTTCTGTTTAAAAGTTTAGTACTGAATGGACCTCAGTCTTTCATAGGAAATATAGGTTGATAAAGAGATCAACTGGTGGCAGCATTTTAAAGGGCACGTTAGAATACTCAGGTAAGCTCTTTGTTTGGTGAAACAAGCAGGAGTCATGGGGTAAACGTCACAGCTTCCCCTTCCCCTCTTCCTGTTTGTGTGGTTCACTTTGTTAGTCTCTCTTTTCTTGACCTCTGAACATGAGGAAACATGGAGGGGCCTCTCCCATATGTGGCAATTCCATTTTTCATATTTTTCTACTAACTGTAATTATAGACAGTGACTGTAACTAAAGATACCATTTGTTCACTTATAATGTTTCCAGAGTGATTTTTTTAAATACAGTCACTGTGAAAAAGGGTGGGCTCCAGAGACTTAAGCTACTGTCTCATGCTTTCTTTGTTCAGTTGTTGTTTGTACTGATATTCTGCTAACTATA